TCCATGGCACTCTACCCAGGGCAAGAGCTTGAGACTCTGTCTCAAAAAAAAAAAAAAACCACACACAAGGAACTCTATAAATGTTTAACAGTGTTATGTGGATGAGATGATCATCAAAAAGTTTTTTAAACATAACAGTTGTTATGCATTACAGGACCTGTTCCTGATACTTTACAGATATAGTAGAACCTCTATAATTGACCACCTCCTCCTTATATTCACAGTCTCCTTAAGTTGACCTACTTTTCATAGACTGGACATGCACCAACTACATGTATGTATCAGTACAGTAGGCCTAGTTCTTTATGTTGCCCACCTCCAGGTGTTTATCAGTTTGTTACAGTCCCCTGAGTGGTCAGTCAATTTACAGAGGTGCTACTGTATGGATTTAATTTTCATGACCCCAGAGGGAAGGTGAAGTCATCACTTCCATATTGTAGATGGAGAAACTGAAACAAAGAAAGCTTAAAATGAATTTAAACTAAGGCTGGGTATAGTGGCTCATGCCTATAATCCTAGTATTCTGGGAGGTGAGGGTGGGTGGATTGCCTGAGTTTATGGATTCAAGACCAGCCTGAGCAAGAGTGAGACCCTGTTTCTAAAAAATAGCCAGGCACTGGGGTGGCGCCTGTGGCTCAAAAGGAGTAGGCAGCCAGTCCCATGTGCTAGAGGTGGTGGGTTCAAACCCAGCCCAGGCCAAAAACTACAAAAAAAACCCTCCGACGTTAAAAATAGCCTGGCATTGTGGTGGGCGCCTATAGTCTCACTCAGGAGGCTGAGGCAAGAGAATCACTTGAATCCAAGAGTTTGGGGTTGCGTGAACTATGACGCCACGGCACTCTACCAGGATGGACAAAGTAAGAATCTTGTCTCAAAAAAAAAAAAAAAAGAATTTAAACTAGAATAACATAGTTATTAAGGATTGATGTCTTATCTCCAGTTACACATTTTCTTGTCACTCCAACAAAACAACTGTACTCACATTTCCTAAAATCTGATCATTTCCTTTTTGTGGCTTCACATACATTTGGAAATGGTAGTGTTTCATTTTTTATGCTGTGTAACATAGTGCTTAAAGCAATAGTCTTTTACTTTGCTCTGCAGTTTGGGAAGGGTTTGAAGGGACAGTACTCTGTTCAAGCTCACCAGGAGGTTGGGGCTTTCCATGTGGCTCATTTGTGTGGCAGGTAAGTGGTGCTAGCTTGTGGTTTCTCTTATTTTTACTTCCAAGAATGATGTCCCAAGATACAGGAAGTGGTAACTACCAACATCTTAACTCCTAGACTCAGAAACTGGCACAGTATCCCTTTTGCTGTGTTTTACTGGGGATATGGTAATGGAGTCCAAATTCTAGGAGAGAGGACCTGGGTCCTTCCTTTCAACAAGAGGCAAGTCAGGGTGGTGCCTATGGCTCAGAGGGTAGGGCGCTGACCCTATATACTGAGGGTGGCAGGTTCAAACCCGGCCCCGGCCAAACTGCAACAACAACAAAAAAAAGCTGGGTGTTGCGGTGGGTGCCCGTAGTCCCAGCTGCTCGAGAGGCAGAGGCAAGAGAATCACCTATGTCCAGGAGTTGGAGGTTGCTGTGAGTTGTGACGGCACAGCACTCTACCGAGGGCAATAAAATGAAATCTTGTCTCTTTGGGGGAAAAAAAAAAAAAGAGGCATGTCAAAAGAATCTAGGCGGCCATGTCTTAAAACCAATACAGTAAGACAAATGTACACTCTCTCTGCTAATAAAGAATTTGATACTCAGTTCTCCCATGTTATTCATTAATAGTATGTTTCATGAATCAAGACAGTGGCTTCTTACTGGAGGTAAAGCCAGTTTTCTGTCAGATCCATGGTATAATCATTTTTTTTTTTTTTTTTTTTTTTTGAGACAGAGCCTCAAGCTGTCCCCCTGGGTAGAGTGCCATGGCATTACAGCTCACAGTAACCTCCAACTCCTGAGCTCAAGCGAGTCTCCTGCCTCTGCCTCCCAAGTAGCTGGGACCACAGGCGCCCGCCACAACGCCCGGCTATTTTTTGGTTGCAGCCGTCATTGTTGTTTTTGGCGGGTCCGGGCTGGGGATTCGAACCCGCCACCTTAGGTGTATGTGGCTGGCGCCTTAGCCGGTTGAGCTATAGGCGCGGAGCCGGTATAATCATTTTAATACATACTTGCTTATAACATAAAGTAGCTTTTGGTTTTGCCTGGTAGTAAAAGTTTCTTTTTGAAATTAAATTTTAGTGAGAATTAAATTCTGAAAATAGCATAACTACCGGGATCTACATTGATTGGTCAAGGTATCTAGGTAATATTGTTGTGTTGGTGATTCTGAACTAATGTGCATCAATGGGTCAGTTAATGGCAGAAATTTACTGAAAAAATGTAATATGTTGGTTTTTGTTATATAGTAGGAGACTTATAATTCAGTTTGCATAGAGTTTTTAATGGTTACTTTTGAGTTTCCTTAGGAAGTCCTGTTAGTTCAAACACCTGTAGTTTGAAATTTTTTTTGAAGTCAACAGTTTTAGTTATGATTTTTAAGAACTGCTTCTCAAACTAATAAAGGAGAGAAGCCTCTAAGCAAGCCTGTAGCACTGAGGAATACTTAAAAGATCAGAGAAGCTTGGTTCTGATTTTAATTCAGATATAAAAAGGTGTGTAACTTTTTAGCAAGGCACTTGAACTGTCTACACTTGAATGTCATAATCTGTGAGAAAGAGAAAAAGATTAGAAATTATGTGATGTCCTATTTCAGTTTTTAAATTGTGTGGTTTATCGATATTTATGATCAGTGGGGTTGTTATGGGGTACTTGTTTTTTTAATATATGATTTTTAGAAGAAAATGTTACTAATGGTAGTAACACATTGTATACTAGTTGCATATAAAGTCAGCATTTCTTTTTCCTTAAGCTATTAACTAGAAAATTTTTTAAATTTTAAACACCATTTTCCTGAAAAGAGGTGGAAAGGATTTTAGTGAAATGTTACAAAATGTTCTCAACTCTAATAATCTTTGTTGTTGAATATAATTATTTTCAGTTAATTCATTTCAAATGCATATATATATATATATATGTCTTTGTATTAAATTTATCATTTCTTCACAACTGTCAGATTTCACATAGGTGATTATAGTTATGGTAGGGGTTGTTTACAAATATATATACTTGACCACATAAGTAAGGTGTGGTTGAATATGAAGAGTTAGTGGGAACAAGGCTGATTAAATGCCAAAATGATGGGTGAAAAGGTAGGAAGATGGATTAATACAGAGAGAATGCCAGGACTTTGGATAAATGTTAAAATTAGAACCTTGAGTAGAAGAGACTCTCAGAATCTAACACTTAGAATTTCAATAATTAAACATTGTATTTTAAAGCAGAAGATTTTCTAAAATACTTCAACATTTGTCTTCTTTAAAATTTATCTATGCCATTCAAGATTGTAACTATCAACAAGTGATAAAATTGGAAGGACAAACTTGAACAGTATACTTTTGCTAACTGTCATAAATTCAAATGAAACTCACGTATGTTTGAAACTATAAGATCCTTCTTGGCTTAGTAGAATGATGTTTCTATTTTTAGAAAGGTTTGGCCAGAGGAAAATTAGTTGATAGGATTTTGCAAGCCTGGCTTTAGAGTAAAATGATGCCAGAGTTTGTTGTTGTTGTTGTTAGTAAACTACAAGTCTGGGACAAATTAAAAATGAACCATTTTAGGTGTGTAGTATCTGTTGTATCCACTAAATAATGGAACTTGATAGTATCTCTTAGTGATGTTATCTAGAGGAATTATTCCCACTCATGTAAAAATTTATTTAATTAGATGTTCATGTGGCTGTCTGACAACCTAAAAGAAAACTGGCTTCTGTTCTCAAGTTTGGAGTCAAGGTCGTGGAGGATCACGTGGTTAGCAAAGTCATGAAAATGAGAAAGACGTGCCATCATTATCTCTTGCCCTTAGCTTTCCTAAGAAAAAAGTAGACGAAGCTGCATAATTTGGAGAAGGGAGTTTCTGTCTCTGATCCTGTTTCTAAAATTACTAATACGTGTCTTTCAGAAAAATACTAAGAGCCTCAAATATGATGACTTAGGGGAAGGAGAAATGATTGAGGGAGTTTGTTTTATGACATTTTATTCTCTAAATGTAACGGAAGCACTTTTGTTTCAGTACTAAGTATCCTGACTACTACTGCTTTTAGAAAGCTTTACTTAAGTTTTTTTTGGAAACTCCATGAATTGATTCAATTCCATTAGTGTTCCATCAAACTTTCTTATATTTTTACCTATTAGATTGGGCACCGCTGTACTGGATTTTTCAAAAACAAAATTTCTTTTGTCTACAAACTCTTGGTTTGTCCTTACACTTGTTTCCCCCTCTGTCTCTGGGAGAAATAGTAATAGAGAAATCTTGATAATCATATTAAGTATTGCCTTCTTTTTAACCCATTTTCTCTTCATATTTCAGCTTTACTTATAGAAGCCCAGTCAACACCATTTCAGGTCACACCTTCAACTATGGCAAATATTGTGAAAGGCCTGTATACTCTCAGACCAGGTAAACATTCATTATTTCCGTTGAACCTGATTGTTTATGTTGTCTCCTCATCCAAGAGGGCAGTGTGTTTTGTGTGGCCTAATGGTATTTGCATTTGCTAGAGCAAATTGAGTAGGTAATTCATCATGGTGAAATATAAACTCAGGACTCACTTGGAACTCTTAACTAGGGAAAACCAATCAGTTTGTTTTTTGCAGGACCTGTGAGGGAAACACAAGAAGTAATTTGAAGGATCACCTTAGATAAAATTGAACTTCGTGTTTGGTCTTAATCTCTGTCTTTGTTATTACAGAGTTTCTCTTTCATTTTCTACCCCATGCTGCACATATGGTCAGACATACACATTCACATTCTTAGGCAGATTATATAATTTGCAAGGAATCTAAAAGTGTTGATAAAGTTATAATCATTTTATAAGGATGTTTGGGAAGAGATAGAATCAGAACAGAATCAAAAAACAAAGATCACTATATTCAAATGCATGGTATATAAATTATCTTAATGCATCTATTTTATTTTTTTTAATTTATTTTTTATTTTTTATTTTTTTTTTTGAGACAGAGCCTCAAGCTGTCCCCCTGGGTAGAGTGCTGTGGCATCACAGCTCACAGCAACCTCCAACTCCTGGGCTCAAGCAAGTCTCCTGCCTCTGCCTCCCAAGTAGCTGGGACCACAGGCGCCTGCCACAGCGCCAGGCTATTTTTTGGTTGCAGCCATCATTGTTGTTTGGCAGGTCCGGGCTAGATTCGAACCTGCCACCTTAGGTGTATGTGGCTGGTACCTTAGCCACTTGAGCCACAGGCGCCGAGCCAATGCATCTATTTTAGAATAACAACATGTGAATTTAAAAGAATCCCAAGTTGCTTCTGAATATATCTTCCTGTTTGTAAGCCAGAATCTCAAACTAGTAATACAGTTGTCTAGCCCATTACAAAATATTTGTGGGAGACAGATTACAGAAATTATCAGGGTAGAACATTATTCTACAACCCATAAACACAAGGGATGCTTTTTAGACAGTAATTACCTTTTCATGAATTTCTTTTGTTGTGTGATGATTATATAAAATAAAACATGATATAAAGAGCTTGATAGTACCTGATAACACAATAAGCATGCAAATATTAACTGCTGTTATTACTATCAATTCGAGTTTGTTATGTTAATTGATGGCTTGTTTGCTTAATTAAGTTAAAAGACATATCAGAATTGAACTAGAGAAAATCGAACCAGGCATAAACTGTGGTACCACCTGCATAGACCGTGATTTTAGAAACACCTTCTTAAGCTACTCTAAATGATTAGTGACTTTTGGAGTATTCGAACTTACTGTTTTACTTGAGTTTAGATCTAGGTCTTGAGCTTTCTTCTTTATAATTTAACAGAAATTATTTGTATAAAGTAATATAATATATATAGTATATAATATATTTTATTACATGTGTACTGTAAACAGATACTTTTTCTAGTTTCTCAGAATGTTTAATTCTATTTTACTACAGTGTGATGAAAATGGCTCATGAAATTTTTTTGTGTGTGCTAGGTTATGAATGATTTTCTTTTCTTGTTGGAAAGTATCTAAATGTAGTATGACAAATTCTTCCTCCTAAGTAGGCAGCTTTATCAGCTCTGGCTTTCATCATTAGTAATAAAATTACAGAATAAAGCTAATGGCTAACAGTAGCAGAAATTATAGATACATGTTTATCTAAAGCTATTTTATCCAGGTTCAAGCTAGAACTGGGTTTGAGAATTGTCCTTTTGAAAAGGTGAATTTTATCACAGACTAAACTTTTGCTGCCCTAGGCAGTTTTTGAGATAATTTTAAGCAAATATTAACATTTACATGTCTTGCCAGTACCCATTATGTTCCGGTTTTATTAAAGCAGTTTTATTCACCTGATAGATTAAGATTAGGCTATTTTAAAAACTGAATTTTGAATGTCAAAGTTACTTCCATTGCAGTGGTTCTCAAGTGCTGGTCTGTATATGACTGCATCTGAATCACCTAAGAAAATTTGGTTTTTATGCTGTAGGTTCCTGGGTTCTTATTTTTAGAGATTCTGAAAACTTAACATTTTGGGAGCAGCACCTGTGGCTCACAGAAGTAGGGCCCCGGCCCCATATGCCAGAGGTGGCAGGTTCAAACCTAGCCCTGGCCAAAAAAAAAAAAAATTACCATTTTTGGCATGTTTCTGTCCAATCTTTAGAAGCTGTTTAGGAATAGTTCTAGCAATTCTATTCTGCTTTTTTTTTTTTTTCCATTTAACACAGGTACTTTGTTCTTTAACTTTATTTTAATAATCACCTGGAGTTCTAGAAAGTATCAGATAGGTTTGCCCTCCGCCAGCTCTGACCGGTTAGTGGTTCCCAGGAGCATGTTATTGAGACCTTTCTAAAGCCATATTTGAACTGAGCTAGGAGAGACACTGTTGAAAACATTTTGCCATGAGTTTGTGCAAGGGATTGGCCCTTGTGTTATTTGCAGTACTTATTTGACATCTTTAACTTACCTATTCTCCTATTAGATATTTTTTTACTTGTACTTTTTTATTTACCATTGACACAGCATGTCAGCATCAAACATAGCCTTTTCTGGTTTAGAATTACTGACTTAGTTTGTCGTTTTGAAAATAGACTTTCTGGATTAAAGAACATTGACATTTTTATGACTGAAAAATAAATACATGTATCTGTATCCAAAATATTTTGCAAATATGGCCAAAATGTTTTCCAAAAGGGAAAATCTGAAGAGGCTAGATTAAAACAATTCAAAAGGAATAATAGTATTAATTAAGGACCACCAAAGAAGAAGAATGCTAGTTTCCTCATGCCCTTGATACAGGTGGGCATTATTTATGTTTAATGATTATTGAGTGTAGAGGGAAGAGAATATATTTATTTTAGCTTGCATTTTTAAAAGGCCACTTACTAGTCTGTTTTTTTGTGTGTGAATTATCTAGTCCTGTCTTTCACCCATTTATTTGTTATTACTGCTGTGTACAAATTCTTTTTAATAAAGATATGAATTAATCTTTGTCATGTCTGGTGCAAATATTTTCCTATGACTTCTCTTTGCCTTTTTATTTTCTATAAATTAGTCTCTTGATCTTTTCTTTTTTTTGAGACGGAGCCTCAAGCTATCCCCCTGGGTAGAGTGCCATGGCATCACGCTCACAGCAACCTCCAACTCCTGG